TTATTATTATTATTATTATTATTATTATTATTATTATTATCATTATTAATGCCACAAGCAAATCCTTTATCTGGAGTCCTACAGTCACTGGGAAAACCCTAAGTTTGAAGGGATACTGGAATTGTTCCAAACCTCAGCCCAACAATGTGCCGCGGCTGAAGACACAAGAACTGATCTACTGATCCCTTCAAAATTCTTTCTGAGGAAAAAACATTTCCATCAAGAATTATATACGAGCAAGAATTTGGGTAACAAGCAGGTAACAGAAACTTTTATGAATAGTTTAAATATGCCTAGCCTCACAGATTAACAAAAGCTATTGTGTGAGGGCAGCATTACAGAGGAGGAGTGTGTTAAGGCTTTACAAAGTTTTCAGGCTAACAAAGTTGCTGGTAATGACAGACTTCACCTGTTTCAACGAGAGTTTCACCAATGGTGAAATGTCACGCTAACAGAAACAGGCAATGATCACTCTTGTTGAAAAGAAAGCAAAGGACCGCTCTCTTTTAGAAACTGGAGACCGATTTCACTTTGTAGATAACATTGTGATATATACTAAATCTAACTCAACAAATTATAATACAGTGTCACATTGGAAAATTAACATTGAAGTGAAAATATGAAACTATAACAGACTATAACCATATAATATTATTGTGAATAGTATGGTGAATAATTTAACATGCATTGATTATTTTGTATTTAGAGATCAAGCCAACAACTTTCCCCTGGAAGATCTTCTCTCTCCTTTAACAACAATCAAGATATGAAATACAGACAAAGAAAAAAAGATGAGAGGCGAGCATATCACACAAGGGAAGAATACAGAGAAAGAGGGCTCAAAATTTGGGTGCACAGCAGGAAAAAACACTGAATCACAAAAGATAAAGCGATTTCAGAAAACAACAAACATAGTGATCATTGACATGATTGACATTCTTGCCCGGTTAAGAAAGCTGTCTGAAAATCACAGTAGTGCAATAACAGTTCCAAACAGGTCCGACGCACAAGAAAATAACTGAGGATTGAGTGCTTATATGTTGATGGCACTGTCACACAGTCGATGGAACTTGCCTAGGCTACAGTATTGGAAACAATTGGTACCTGAAGCAACCTAGACGACGAGCAGAGTGGATGCTGACTGGAAGTGTTTTAATGAAGCCGCCAACTTCTGTGCATATCGGTGATGTCATCCACATGGAATTCCGGACGTAATATCAGTTAATTTGCAATATGTCAACTTGCGTATTGAAAGCAATCTTTGTCGTTTCTGTGCCCATTCTACCTTGTTTAATACCAATATTTGGAAAAAGGAAACCTTTTTTGTACTTTTTGTTCAAAGTTGGGTGATTGGAGCAAAAGATTCAGGAGATTTTGTGTACACCATGAGCCATGGTTTTAAATGGCTTCAGTGGGAAAAAACCCGTGAGTAAAAGTAAAATGTTTGTTTTCCTAAAATGCTTCTGAACTGTAATCCGTTTCCAGAAGCACTATTCAACCAGAAAAGGAAAACACATTGATACTCAGGAGCCTTACATAACTGGGGTTAAAAGCGAGAAAGACAGGCTGGTTAAAAATCCCAAGGAAAACCTTCAGTTTTCTCTCAAAGCATCTGCATTCTGATCAACACTGTTACTTTTGTCTATGTGTTTTGAAATGTACATGTCTGCCTCTTCAAAGCAAGATTTTCACTATATTTCG